TCCCCCCCGGCCCGGCCCGGGCGCTGCGCCTGCCCCTTCCCGGGGTGGCTGCCAGCGGCGGGCAGCTCCTCTCCCGGTGTGCAGGCGGTGCTGGGACAGGCGCTGGGCGTGCTGGGCGTGGTGAGGAAGGAGCGCCTCCTCTACCTCGTGGGCCAGACCCGGGTGCACCTGGACAGCGTGGAGGGGCTGGGGGACTTCTTGGAGCTGGAGGTGAGCGGGGCACCACTGGGGCGCGGGTGCTGGCCCCGGGGCGCCCAGGACTCACCCTCCCCATGTCCGCAGGTGGTGCTGACCGAGGAGCAGACTGTGGAGGACGGCGAGTGCGTGGCCCGCCGGCTGATGAAGGAGCTGGGAGTCGAGGAGGAGGACCTGATCTCCGGGGCCTACCTGGACCTTCTCCTGGCCAAGGGGGAGTTGGGCTCGTGAGGGCTCGCTGGTGTCCCCGCGCCAGGGGCAGAGCCCCCTTGCCGCCACCCCTCACCCGGGCTGTGACAGCTGAGCGCGGCGGGGAGGGGGCCAGCCCGCCTCATGGACGGTTGCTGCTCTGAGCCCTTTGCTACACAATAAAAGCTGGGGACCGATGGTGTCTGTGCCCGGGACTGGTCGCTCCGGCAGGCGCTGGGGCCTCGGTGCTGAGGTCAGGGCACCCACGGCCGGCCCTTGCCGCCCGCCCTGTGCCGGCAGAGGGGCTGGGCTGCAGCAGGGAGAGGGGTGCCAGCCCTGGGGCGGCCCGAGCTGCCCTCCTGCGGGGCGCGGGGCCCTGGGGAAGGGGCGCAGGGGGGGCCGGCTTGGCTGCGAGGGGAGGGAGAGGTTTGTGAGGGGCAGCAGCACTCAGCCCTGAGCCGGGATTAAGTCCTCTCCCCTCACTCGGCACCAGCCAGGGCCACGGGCTGTGCCGGGAGCAGAGCTCGGCGGTGCCGCGGGCCGAGGGGGGGCTCTGGGCTGCTGCGGCAGCAGATGGGTCTGCGGGGGGGTCTGGGGGCATCTGTGCTGCTGTGCCATCTGCCTGCTGCCGTGGCTGCCTGATCCTGCCCAAGGCGGGAGGCCGGGCAGGGCCAGGGGGCTGGGCGGGCGCTGGGGGGGTCTGTGGGGCGGCACGGCTGAGGCCTGGGCCGGGGCAGGGGTCGGCGGCGGGGGCA